ACCGCCTGGTAAGTGTGCCGTGCAGATGGTGCTGCTGCAACCAGGTATGCTGCCTGCAGCAGCACCTACCCTGGCGCAGGGGTCAGCATGTTAAGTGTCTTTGGTGTAAGTGGGAGGTATTAGTGCCCCATCATTGGTGTCAGATACTAAGGATGGGGCACTATTCATCCCACTAACACCAACGATGGTGCGCTCTATTCCTCCCATTGACACCAACGATGGGGCACTATTCCTCCCCCAACTGATATCAATAATGTGGCACGTGAAGATCTGCCCCCATTGTCATTACCCCCCAAGATCATTCCCCCATGAAACATCTGTCCCCCTTGTCATTGATCAGTCCCCCGTGAAGATGTGCCCCCCTTGTCATTCCCCCCAGCAAGATCAGTCCCCCGTGAAGATGTGCCCCCCTTGTCATTCCCCCCCAGCAAAATCAGTCCCCCGTGAAGATGTGCCCCCTTGTCATTCCCCCCCAGCAAAAATCAGTCCCCCGTGAAGATGTGCCCCCTTGTCATTCCCCCCCAGCAAGATCAATCCCCCGTGAAGATGTGCCCCCCTTGTCATTATTCCCCAGCAAGATCAGTCCCCCGTGAAGATGTGCCCCCCTTGTCACTCCCTCTAGCAAGATCAGTCCCCCGTGAAGATCTGCCCCCCTTGTCATTCCCCCCCAGCAAAATCAGTCCCCCCCTGAAGATGTGCCCCCCTTGTCATTACCCCCCAGCAAGATCATCCCCCGTGAAGATGTGCCCCCCTTGTCATTATTACCCAAGATCAGTCCCCCGTGAAGATCTGCCCCCCTTGTCATTCCCCCCAGCCAAGATCAGTCCCCCACCAAGAAGATGTGCCCCCCTTGTCATTATTACCCAGCAAGATCAGTCCCCCGTGAAGATCTGCCCCCCTTGTCATTCCCCCCCAGCAAGATCAGTCCCCCATGAAGATCTGCCCCCCTTGTCATTATTCACCAGCAAAATCATTCCCCCGTGAAGATGTGCCCCCCTTGTCATTACCCCCCTCACCCCAGGATCAGTACCCCGTGAAGATCTGCCCCCCCCCCCCCCCATTGACGCAAACATCACCCCCTGGCAATAAGCTCAGTCTCCCTTGATGCAAATCCCCACCCCCATGTGACTGGTACCCACGTGTAACTGCACCACCAAAACATGTTATGGGCCCCCAATATCACTGATCCCCCCACATGTGACTGTACTTGCCATGTCACCCCCCCAGCAGCTTGGCGACATTAGGAACGTCAGCAGCAGCAGCAGTGATCCGATGCATGTGACTCCTGTACTTGCAATCCAGCATGCATGAAAGGATCCAGCATGAAAGGAGTTAACACTTTCTCAGAGCGAGATCGCTGATCGTCTGCTTATGCCTGAAACTGGCACATGCGCAGATACAGCAAGGGGGGCAGATGCTCACGGGACACACATCTTCATGCAACCGGTAAGATGTGGAGGGGGTGACCCCGGAGAGGCAGGCAGGTGAGGTGAGAAGGGGACACACGGGGCTGGTGTCAGAGGCCAGTCATGTGTCTGCTCACACACTGTGCGTCATACCAGGACAAAGGTCAGTCACAGGTCTGTAGAACTGCAGATCTGACCATACACCATACAATCTGGTTGTATGATCTCATCACCTGTACACTGAGCTCTACGGAGATCGTACAGTCAGATTACAGCTCCCCATACAGGATACAGTCTGGTTGTATATGATCTTCTTTAGCTATAAAAGTATGTAGTGCAAGATCCCGCCTGACTGGATATTAACTGGATTGTTCAGACACCCCCAGATACACATTTCCCAAGAGCTCTTCCCTGCACATCCACAGATCTACATCCCAAGAGTACTTTCTATACATCCCCCCCCCCCCCAGAACTGCATCTTATTAGAGCCCTTTCCCTACACACCCTCAGATCTACGTCTCCCCAGAGCCCTTTACCTACACACCCTCGGATCTACATCTTCCAAAAGCCCTTTCCCTACACACCCTCGGATCTACGTCTCCCAAGAAGAGCCCTTTCCCTACACACCCTAAGATCTATGTCTCCCAAGAGCCCTTTCCCTACACAGCCTCAGACCTACGTTTCCCAAGAGCCCCTTTCCCTACACACCCTGAATCTACATTTCCCAAGAGCCCTCTCCCTACACACCCTCAGATCTACGTCTCCCAAGAGCCCTCTCCCTACACACCCTCAGATCTACGTCTCCCAAGAACCCTTTCCCTACACACCCTCGGATCTACGTCTCCCAAGAGCCCTTTCCCTACACAGCCTCAGATCTACGTTTCCCAAGAGCCCTTTCCCTACACACCCTCGAATCTATCTACGTCTCCCAGGAGCCCTTTCCCTACACACCCTCGGATCTACGTCTCCCAAGAGCCCTTTCCCTACACACCCTCGGATCTACGTCTCCCAAGAGCCCTTTCCCTACACACCTTCGGATCTACGTCTGCCAAGAGCCATTTCCCTACACACCCTCGGATCTACGTCTCCCAGGAGCCCTTTCCCTACACACCCTCGGATCTACGTCTCCCAAGAGCCCTTTCCCTACACACCCTGGATCTACGTCTCCCAAGAGCCCTTTCCCTACACACCTTCGGATCTACGTCTGCCAAGAGCCCTTTCCCTACACACCCTCGGATCTACGTCTCCCAAGAGCCCTTTGCCTACACACCCTCGGATCTACGTCTCCCCGAGAGCCCTTTGCCTACACACCCTCGGATCTACGTCTCCCGAGAGCCCTTTGCCTACACACCCTCGGATATACGTCTCCCAAGAGCCCTTTCCCTACACACCCTCGGATCTACGTCTCCCAAGAGCCCTTTCGCTACACACCCTCGGATCTACGTCTCCCAAGAGCCCTTTTCCTACACACCCTCGGATCTACGTCTCCCAAAAGCCCTTTCCCTACACACCCTCGGATCTACGTCTCCCAAGAGCTCTTTCCCTCCACACACTCGGATCTACGTCTCCCAAGAGCCCTTTGCCTCCACACACTCGGATCTACGTCTCCCAAGAGCCCTTTGCCTCCACACACTCGGATCTACGTCTCCCAAGAGCCCTTTCCCTCCACACCCTCGGATCTACATCTCCCAAGAGCTCTTTCCCTACACACCTCAGATCTACATCTCCCAAGATCCCTTTCCCTACACACACACCCTCAGATCTACCATCTCCCAAGAGCCCTTTCCCTACATACCCTCAGATCTATGTCTCCCAAGAGCCCTTTCCCTATGCACCCCTGATCTACATCCCTCAAGTACCCTTTGCTTACCCAACCCCAGAACTACAAGTCCCAAGAGCCCTTCCCCGCACACCCCCAGATCTACATCTCCCAAGAGTATGGGCAGGATTTTGTGATTCACAGCAGCAGAATTGTTTTTCCTGGAAAGAAATGACTGTGTGTATATGAAGAGGGACAGAGAGGGGAGCTGGGTGAGGAGTCGTCCTGCAGCTCAGCAGGCAGGGCGGATGGTCGGGATTTTAGCGAAGCAGAGTTGTCAGCCCAGACAGAAAGAAAAGCATTCTCTGGATTTCAGGCAGATCAGCAGTTATTATCTATCCTGGCACTATTATGGAGAGGAAACAGACGTGTGCCTGGATCACAAAGATGTTTTACCGATGTCATTCTGCATTTCAGGAGTTGGGTCTCTTACACTCGCTGTGCTTCATCATCATCAGTGGTGATCTGCAGGAACCATGTTCGCAGCAGGGAAGGTTGTCACCAGGCTGGTGTCACGCTGTCCTTGGCACCGTTGTCACCGAAGCGGGAGCAGGTTATGTGTGCGCGACGCACTCACCAGTCATGGTGGAAACACAAAGAAAGTGAAAATTCAGGTAGGTGAGAACTTTGTACTAATGGATCCGCTCCTAAAGAGCTGAAGGTCAACATGGCAAAGATCTTTCCTCACATTTCTGTACCGTCCTCTGAGGTTTCATCGCAGTCACATGACCACCACGTCCCCCTCTTTCACACCAGCACCGTGGAATAGAGCTCAGCAACTTCCCGGTCCTAGAAGCTGTCACCTTGACTTGGGCTTGCACACTTGTACCGGCTCCTTTCCTGGACTGAAATCGCTCTGATTTCACTGCACACTGTGAGCTTCCCACCGTGTGCATTAGAAGCTGCAGCAAGTCCGAAAGAGTCCTCCTAGCTAGAGGATGTCCAGCGTCATCCAGCACTTTCCTCCCCAGCCTGACTGTCCCTGTCCCGCCTCTTTCATTCATTGGATTTCATTCCTTTTAATCATGGAGGCTCATGATGTTACATGGGTCTTACCTAGGGCAGGGCTTGACAATATTGCCTTGAATCTAGGAGCCAGCTAAAAATGTTAGGAGCCAATTTTTTTTTTTTTTAGTGTAGCGTGGGTTGTCAGCTCCCGGGGCAAGGCAAACATTTGGATGACAAGCTTCCCGTGATGGGATTGGCCACGCGACAATCGCAGCAAAACTGCACCACGGTTTAGGTGCCATTGACAATAATGGCACCTGAACCTGTGTTTTGTGATCACACTGATTCTGCCATGATCCCAATAGCCCACGTGTGAATGGAGCCGTCCTGGTTCACACATATGCCTTTCTGGATGCGTTTTCAAACAGATTCATATGCCAGGCGAGATATTATGTGTTCCTATTGAGGTGGTTCACACAGATGCAATCCTTAGCGAGTTTCTAGCGGTGCGTTCCAGATTCACAAGTGATAGGCTCCATTCACACTTGTGCGTCTTCAAACTTGTGCGATTTTCATTGCGACTTTACAGTGCGACTTTGGATGAGTGCAACTTTAGCTTTGACCAAGAATAATTGTTTCTGCTGTACAAAGTCGCACACAAGTCGCATGTACAACATTCAGGTGCGACTTTGGAGGGTTTACATGAAGTCTATGGCCCTCAAGTTGCATGAAAATCGGACCAAAGTAATGCAGGAACTACCTTGAAGTCACGCAGATCTGAATGGTACCCACTGGGAAACATGGGGGGGGCGACTTGTGATGCGCCTTTGTACCCCAGAGTTGCATGACAAGTCGCATAAGTGTGAACGGAGCCTAAAGTGACATGCAAAGAGAAGTGTTCACATAAGATTGCTATTGACAGGAGTTTTTGCATTGGAGTCAATGGGTGGTGTTTTTTACATTGAAGTCAATGGTAGGCGATTTTGCATTGAAGTCAGTGGGAGGTGTTATTGTATTGAAGTCAATGGGATGCAATTTTGTATTGAAGTCAATGAGAGGCAGTCATGGATAGAGAGCGACAAAATCACACCTGTGCTGAAATCTCACAGAAACCTGAATGACATGGAGATTTCAGTATACGTGTATACATATCTGTGAACCCAGACGCCAGGACGCAATTTCTTGTCGCCATGGTGACCTGGCGTCTGGGATTTGTCGAGCCCTGACCTAGGGTGGTCTGTATGCAAATAAAGTCTGCCTAGGAACGCCCACTCCTGCAGACTGACATCCACCCATCAAGTCATTTTGTTATTTTGCAAAACGCCTCTCAAGATCCCCACTGCTTGCACCAGGACTGAGGACTCTTCAGAGGAGCCCTGAGACAGGGTGCTGTAATGTTTTCAGGAAGCTGCGTACAACACCCTGATCTGTTTGCATTGCATAGAGAAACACAAAGATCCAGCGATTAATCTGGGTATTTTTTCATCTTTATTTTAATTGCATGTTGACCGAGAAGGGGCAGGGAAGATGAACAATAACTGTTGTAAACCTCAGACATGAAATATGAACAAAGCATATCCCGCTATAGTGGGCACTTGTCTCAATTCAGAGCACTAAGTGTCATTTCTCTCTGCTGCTTTCTTCCTCTGCTACCTGCATGAGTCACATCTGACAAGTTTTCCTGACACAAAGAGATACAAAGGTGACAGGGATGGGAGCTCCAGCACACAGCCTGTGATTGACATCCTCAGCTCTGTTCCAGTGTGCTCTGTGAAGGGGTTGTGAGCCTTCCCTCCAAACAGCTCTCAGAGATCTCCTCACTGAGCTCTGCAGTATGTAATTTTAGCTCTCCGCCCTTCTGTTTTCTGACAGCTCAGGCTAGTTTTATAAATTCTGTAATTTGAAGGGATGTAGAGAAGAAATAGTGCAGATAAACAGGTACAACGTATGTAGGAGGGGGATTTGTATCACCTGAGGCCGGGCACTTCATTGGGTATATGTAGGTTTTACTATCACTTTAACCACTATCTGACACACACACACACACTATCCACGCCACCATTCGCTGCCTCAGCTGTCAATCGTCAGGTCCCAGCTGATGATTACTCGCCAGCGTCCAGTGATTGCTGAGCATCTCCGACTTTGGGGGGGGGAACAACTGTTTGTACACAAAACAGTTCTCCTTCCTGTCAGCTCCTGCACACTGCTTTGCATGGCTTACAGTGAAGCACGGACACAGTAAACAGCACACAGTTAACCCTTTGATCACCCCTCATGTTAACACCTGCCTGCCCAGTGCCATTATTACTGTGTCAGTGTTTTTTTTTCCCCCCTAAGCCACTGATCACTGTATTGGTGTCACTGGGGATGTCAGTGACACCAAGTCAGTTCCCCCCTCAATGTCAGAATGCCTGCCGCAGTCCTGCTATAAATCGCTGATCGCTGCCATTACTAGCAAAAAAAAAAAAATCCCAGTATATATACCTCCATTTGTAAACGCTATAGCTTTCACATGGCCTAAATTTATGAAAAAATTTAGATTTTTTTTTTTTTTTGTAAATTCTTTTACTGGACACGTTTAATAGCAAAAAAAAATCAAAAATATTGTTTTTTTTTTTCAGTCTTCTCTTTTTTTTTTTTTTTAGCATAAAAAATACACAGGCTATCAATACCACCGAAAGAAAGCTTAATTCATAGGAAAAAAAGGACGTAAATTTCATTTGGGTGCGTTGTTGCATAACCGCGCAATTGTCAGTTAAAGTAATGGAGCGCTGTAACGCAAAAAATGGCCTGATCAGGAAGGAGGGTAAATCCTCAGGATTGTAAGTGGTTAGGGCCTCTCTCACACAGGGCCTCTCTTACCGTATGCCCCTGCAAGGCCGTCTTTACCCTCAGGTGTTGTGTGCATCCCCGTACAGGCTGTCCCATTGATGTCCTTTGGGACACAGCTGCTGTGTCCCAATGTGACATCCGTGTCGGTGCATGTCCCCAGATATAGACAGTGTAAGTTCAGTGACACGCACCCTCATCTACATGGATGTCATGTAAAGACACAGCAACTAAGTCCATGCAGCCACTATGTGCCAATGGACATGAATTGGACTGCCTGCACGAGGAAACCTGGACCACCACCAATTTATTTATTTATTCCAGGTACTTACATAGTGCCATCAATTTACGCAGCGCTTTACATATATATTGTACATTCACATCAGTCCCTAACCCTCAAGGGGCGTACAATCTAAGGTCCTTAACTCACATTCATACATACACATACTAGGGCCAATTTAGACAGGAGCCAATTAACCTACCAGTATATCTTTGGAGTGTGGGAGGAAACCGGAGTACCCGGAGGAAACCCACACAGGGAGAACATGCAAACTCCAGGCAGGTGGTGCCGTGGTTGGGATTCGAACCCATGACTTTAGTACTGCCAGGTGGATGTGCTAAACATGGCCCTGCATGAGCGTATGGTTTAGTACACCTCTTATGAATGAGGCCTAAATGTCTTTCCTCGATATGGACTGTGATCTCTCTGGTCAGGGATTGCTGTGAATGGCTCAGCATTGTCTGTAATGCTCTGCAGAATATATCAGCACAGTATGAATGACTAAAATAAATGAACTCTGTCTCATAGATAAGCATTTTGCATAGGACTGCCAAACCTTCAACATAGAACTTGCTTAGAACTTACAGGAGCTTAGTGGGATAAAACATTTTTTTTGTTTTTTCCTCGTAATTTTTTATCTTTAAAGTGTTTCCAAAGGCTCCAGGTGTTTTACCTTTATGCATTCTATGCTTGAAGGTAAAAAGACCTTCTGTGTGCAGCAGCTCCCCCCCCAGCCTCCTCAATACTTGCCTGAGCCTCATCGCGATCCAGCGAAGTGAATGACAGCCTCGGCTGTCCCGGGTCTCTGCCTCCTCATTTGGCTGAGACAGCAAGCGGCAGCCATTGGTTCTCGCTACTGTCAATCACAGCCAGTCAGCCAGTGAGAAGAGAGAGGGCGGGGGGGGGGTAAGCCACTGCTCCGTGTGTGAATGGACACACGGAGAAGCGGGTGCACCCATAGCAAGCTGCTTGCTGTGGGGGGCACCCGACAGACAGGAGGAGCCAGGAGAGCCTGCGGGGGACCCGAGAAGAGGAGGATCCAGGCTGCTCTGTGCCAAACCACTGCACACAGCAGGTACGTATAGACATGTATATTATTTTACAAAAAAAAAATCACTTTAAAGCAGAACTATAGGCAAAACTTTTTTTTTTTCTTACGTTTTGGATAGAATAAGGGAAGGTTACAACTCCTGTCAGGTTTTCTTTTTTTACATGCCATCTGTGTCCCATCAGGGAAAATTACTTCACTTCCTGTCCCATAGCCACTACAGGAAGTGAGGAAATCCCTGCAAATCCAATGGGGTCACCAAAGCTAGTGGAATGTTTCCCCTCTATTACTGTTCTGGGTACAACCTGTTCTTTGTGATAAATAGGGTGAATCTCCCTAATAGTGGAACATACACACATAACCTGACGGGGGTTCTAATTCCTCCCCATGGTATCCAAAACTAAAAATAAAGTTTTGCTGTTAGTTATACTTTGACAGGAACTTTATAACAAGTAATATACAGTATATCTGTTGTGTGGCTTTTGATGAAAAGGTGTATTGGGTAAACTTTGTGTCTATCCCTCAAGAGTTGGTTCTGGCCAGCTCAGTGGATTGCTTTAAAAAAGTCCCGGATTCTTTCTTGGATACACAGAATATAACTGGATAGAACATTTATAGGTAAATTTGATCCAGGGAATATCCGATTGCCTCTCGGGGGATCGGGAAGGATTTTTTCCCCTACAGGAGCAAATTGGATCATTCTTTGCTGGTTTTTTTTTTTTTTTGCCTTCCTCTGGATCAACTGTGGGTGTAGGATTATAAATTTTTTTTTTTTAATGGTTGAACTGGATGGACTTTTGTCTTTTTTCAGCCAGACTAACTATGTAACTCACACTACATCATGCTAGTTGGCTGTATTTCTTGTATAGAAACAAATGGAGTCTTCATGCCCAGTATGAAGGAGAGATAAATCCGATGTATTACATAGAAAGTCTCATCTGGGGGAATCAAACAGCTCGGCATTATGTATGACCAAAGCTGTGCAAAGCCTTCGGTGTAGTTGGGTTGTTACATCATTGTAGAATATGTGGGCTCACTAACCTCCTCTCCTTCCGCAGGGTTGGGTGCGCTCAGTCCGAGCCCACAAAGAAGTTTTGTTCCTTCATATCAATGACGGATCTTCTCTGCAAAACCTCCAGATTGTGGCTGAGCCCAGCCTCCAGCACAGGTACCGGTGTCTGTTTTAGAGCAGAATAGTCAGTAATGAAAAGTGTAGGAATATCACACATGTGTATGTAATAGCCGCTTGCCTACCGGGCACTTTTACCCCTTTCCTGCCCAGGCCAATTTTCAGCTTTCAGCACTTTGTCTCGCTTTGAATGAAAATTGCGCTGTCATGCAACACTGTACCCTTTAAAAATAATTATAATTTGTTCACACAAATAGGGCTTTCTTTTTATGGTATTTAATCAGCACTGAGTTTAAAAAAAAAAAAATGGAAAAAAAACGCGTTCTTCTTCGTCTCTGTTTTTAAAATTTTTGCAAATAAATAAGCTTTCTTCATAAATTTCAGTCAAAATGTATTCTGCTACATTTCTTTGGTGAAAATACCCCAGATCAGTGTTTATAATTTAGTCTGTAGGAAAGCTAGAGTCCAAAAATCATGGTATATATATCTGACAATCGATCAATGCTGATGTACTGACGGCCAATCTCATTTCTTGAGGCCTGAAAATGCCAGGATAGTACAAATACCCCCTATATGACCATTTTTTTGGAAAATAGACAGTCCAGGGTATTTGGTAAGAGGCATGAAGCTGTAATTTTGTAATTTTTTGTCCCAATTTTTGGAAAATTAAGAAATTGAAAAAATAATTTTTTTCTTTTTTTTTTTTTTTATGTTGTCATCAGTCCAGTACAGCATTTATCATATAACTGGTGTGGCAGTGATCAGGGACACTGACTGGTGACCAGTATGTGGAAATAAAAAATATTTAATTTATTCTTTTTTCTATTACTATTTTTTTTTTCTATTTACAATTTTTTTTTTCAACACACTGTGACCAGAGCAATACAATGTTAACAATGTGCATAGTTGTTTTTTTTTTTTTACGCATTATGATTGCTAATACCAATGTTTTTCATTGACATTAGCAACCATTTTTACTGAATGAAACTGATTGATTTAGTCTTTTGTTGTGATTAGCTGTGATTGGGTAAAGCTCAACATATGGTACAGATGGGCCTGTCTGTACCATGTGACTGTTGTGACCAGTCACAGCTGACAACACAATTGTATACAATGGATGGCATGAAGCCATCCATTGTATACAATTGTCATGTGATCTGTTGTGGTTAGTCACAGCGGTGACAGGACACTGACAGCGGGCCGATGTAGTGATCTGTCCTCTACTGTGTCCCGAGGGCACAGCCGGTGACAGATCACGCTGCTGCACGGCTGCTTGAGCGGCACCTTCTGACAGGACGTCATATGACGTCCACCCAGAAGGAGGAGCGTCGCGCCCGGCCGTCAATCTGCTATAGGCAGAATGGAAGGTGTTAAGATATTCTTCTATCAAAGTTGCAATAGTGGGAATTTATCAAAACTGGAGCAGCTGTGCATGGCAACTGTTAGGGATCCAGGTATGACCAGAAATGTGTGGACTGACACAGGGAAGTAGCAGGCTTCAGGAACACAGGCGTAGTCAGGGCTGGAGAGGTGGAATGGTCAGGCAGGCTGCTAGGTACTGTCAGGCACCGCGCGGCGGGATCTCTAGTACCCACAGAACGGGATTCCCCAGGGTGCGGAGTCTAAGCCCCAGTCTGCCTTTTCACCAGAGCCCCTGATGGTGGGGATGGACTTGGCGCAGGACTGAGACCAGGTCGCGGCCCCTGAGTGCACCCAACTGTGGTAGAGGGGTCCGCCGAGGGTATGTACCGTGGGAAAGCCTGACGTGAAGAGGCTGGCAGACCTAGTAACAGGGACAGATCCGTGCAGGATGGATGGATGGATGGTCTGGGTAGCGTCAGGCAGGCCAGGTCAGCAACGTGCGGGCAGTGAGGTATCGGAGGAGCAGGCAGAGAATAGTCAGGGTCACAAGCCGGGTTCAGTAACTCACGGGCAGCGCGGTACTGAGGATCAGGCAGAAGGATGGTCAGGCAAGCCAGGGATCAAGCAGGAGAAGTCAGCAGAGATCAGGATCAGGCAGGGTCGGCAACAAATCAGATAGTCAGCAGAACAGGAACACAGGATACCAGGTACAGGGGGGGCTCATGGGAAACAATACAATAAAGGCCCTGATCACAGGCCTGGTCCTGCTTAAATACACCTCCTGCAATCAGCTTCAGCTGATGGCTGACTGCAGGAGTGAGCTTCTGGTTGCTGAGAGCACCCGCTGGTCAGCCCTGGTACTGCAGCCCACACGGCAGGTGAGTCCCACCACCAGTGCTGAGTCCATTCCTGACAGCAACCAATCAACTTCTATTTTTTTTTTTTTTTTTTCAAAAAAGCTCATGCCCTGATCCATACTAGAACGCAGTGCGGGAAACCCATGATCTGTGCACGTTTCCCACACCACGTTAACAAAGCACGGCCAAAACATTATGGAATTTAAAAAAAAAAGCACTGCCCTTTCAATCTGCTGCAGGTGTCCATGCATTGTTAACACCCCAAACGCAGTGCGTTTGCCTGCCCTGAATCGCCTGGTACAAAACTATCATTTGATCCAGATGCAGTGCATTACCAAAAGTAGTGCATGCGTTAAGTTGGTGCGATTTCAGCCCATTCAAAATTAATTAGCCCAGTTGGCACAGCACTGAATTTGCATGGTAATTGCACTGGAATGCAGTGCAATTCCTGTACGATTCCTTGGCAATTTATAGTGTTAGGCTAAAGTAAAACTATAGTAAAAACTTTTTTTTTTTTACTTCCATTTTAGATAAAATAAGGGAGGGGTTATGGTTTTTCTTTGCTATCTGTATACCTTTGGGAAGGTTTCCCTTCACTACCTCTCCTACAGTCAAAACAGGAGGTGAGAGGAAATCGCTACAAAGTAAAGGAATTAATTGGGGACTCCCAGGTCTCCAGAACTAGTGTCCCCATTGGAAGATTTCCCCTCTATTATTTTTATGGGGAAAACCCAAAATGTGTGGGTTTTATTCTACTTTCAATGATAATGGTACACAGGATGAACAGAGAGGGTGAATCTCCCTAATGGGGGCTATAAAGACCTGACAGGTGTTCTAATCCACCAACTTTTTAAGGGCAGCACTCAATCCCAGAAAAAAATGAATTAATTATTTATAATTCACTACTTTTTTGGGGGGGATTTAGTGCTGCCTTTGAGAAGTTGGTTTAAATGTATGTTGTTTACCGGAACATATGGCAAGCGGCTCTGTCCCTTGAAGGTTTCCTGAGAATAGTCTCCTTTTCTATAATTTTTTTCAGTTTTGTGTTCTAATCCAACTCCATCCTTTTAGTTATTCTTTAAAGCAGCAGTTAAGTAAAAAAAAAAAAAAAAAGGTCCCCCAAGTTAATGTCATAACATAATGTGTACAGTGGATATAAAAAGTCTACACACCCCTGTGATATAAAAAAAAATGAGACAAAGATAAATCATTTCAGAACTTTTTCCACCTTTAATGTGACCTATAAACTGTACAACTCAATTGAAAAACAAACTGTTTTCTTTTGGGGGGAAAGTAAACATAAAATGATGTGGTTGCATAAGTGTGCACACCCTCTTATAACTGGGGATGTAGCTTTGTTCAGAATTAAGCAATCACATTCAAAAATTATGTTAAATAGGAGTCAGTACACACCTGCCATCATTTATAGTGCCTCTGATTAACCCCAAATAAAGTTCAGATGTTCTAGTAGGTCTTTCCTGACATTTTCTTAGTCGCATCCTACAGCAAAAGCCATGGTCCGCAGAGAGCTTCTAAAGCATCAGAGGGATCTCATTGTTAAAAGGTATCAGTCAGGAGAAGGGTACAAAAGAATTTCCAAGGCATTAGATATACCATGGAACACAATGAAGACAGTCATCATCGAGTGGAGAAAATATGGCGCAACAGTGACATTACCAAGAACTGGATGTCCCTCCAAAATTGATGAAAAGACGAGAAGAAAACTGGTCTGGGGGGCTGCCAAGAGGCCTACAGCAACATTAAAGGAGCTGCAGGAATATCTGGCAAGTACTGGCTGTGTGGTCCATGTGACAACAATCTCTGTATTCTTCATATGTCTGGGCTATGGGGTAGAGTGGCAAGACGGAAGCCTTTTCTTCCGAAGAAAAACATCCAAGTCCGGCTAAATTTTGCAAATACACATCTGAAGTCTCCCAAAAGCATGTGGGAAAATGTGTTCTGGTCTGATGAAACCGAGGTTGAATTTTTTGGCCAAAATTCTAAAAGATGTTTGGCCCAAAAATAACACTGCACATCACCAAAAGAACACCATACCCACCGTGAAGCATGGTGGGGGCAGCATCATGCTTTGGGGCTGTTTTTCTTCAGCTGGAACTGAGGCCTTAGTCAAGGTAGAGGGAATTATTAACAGTTCCAAATACCAGTCAATATTGGCACAAAACCTTCAGGCTTCTGCTAGAAAGCTGAACATGAAGAGGAACTTCATCTTTCAGCATAACAACCACCCAAAGCATACATCCAAATCAACAAAGGAATGGCTTCAGCAGAAGAAGATGAAAGTTTTGGAATGGCCCAGCCGGAGCCCAGACCTGAATCCGATGGAAAATCTGTGGGATGATCTGAAGAGGGCTGTGCACAGGAGATGCCCTCGCAATCTGACAGATTTGGAGTGTTTTTGCAATGAAGAGCGGGCAAATATTGCCAAGTCAGGATGTGCCATGCTGATAGACTCATACCCAAAAAGACTGAGTGCTGGAATCACATCAAAAGGGGCTTCAACAAAGTATTAGTTTAAGGGTGTGCACACTTATGCAACCATAATATTTTAGTTTTTTACTTTTACTTTCCTCCACCTAAAATATTTCAGTTTGTTGTTCAACTGAGTTGTACAGTTTATAGGTCACATTAAAGGTGGAAAAAGTTCTGAAATGATTTATCTTTGTCTCATTTTGTTACATCACAGAAACCTGACATTTTAACAGGGGTGTGAAGACTTCTTATATCCACTGTATACTAGGACATTATGAGAGATTTACCTTTTAATTTAGTGTAAAGTGTTACTAAGCCCACAACAGTAAAATCAGTCTGTATACGCAGTAAATCATATACTATTTATACTCACTGTGGAACCTAAAGGGTTAATCCTCCGCACTGTG